TTGTCTTTTTCGTTAATTTTCGTCCTTATTATCTTTTTTCATTCTTCGTTCTTTTTCGTCCCTTCTCGTCCTTTTCGTCCTTATTATCATTTTTTGTCCCTTTTCGTCCTCTTTGTCCTTTTTCATCCTTATTATCCTTTTCCGTCCTTATTATCCTTTTTCGTTCTTTTTCGCCCTTTTCGTCCTTTTTCGTCCTTATTATCCTTTTTGGCCCTTTTTCGACCTTATTATCTTTTTGGTCATTTTTCGTCCTTTTCGTTCTTTTTCGGCCTTTTTCGTCCTTATTATCCTTTTTCGCTCTTTTTCATTCTTATTATCCTTCTTCGTCTTTTTCCGTATCATTTTCGTCCTCATTATCCTTTTTCGTTTTTTTACATCCTTATTATGCTTTTTCGTCCTTTTTCCTCCTTTTTCGTCATTCTTCGTTCTTTATTGGTCACTTTTCGTCGTTACTATCCTTTTTCGTCTTTATTATCTTTTTTCGCCCCTTTTCGTCCTTATTATCCTTTTTAGTCCTTTCTCGTCATCTTTCTTCCTTTTTAGACCGCTTTCGTCCTTTTTCGTCCTTATTATCCTTTTTCGTTCTTTTCGTCCTTTTTCGTCATTATCCTTTTTCGCCCTTTTTCGTCCTTATTATTCTTTACCGTCCTTTTTCGTCTTAATTATCCTTTTTCGTACTTTTACGTTCTTTTTCGTCCTTATATCCTTTTTTGTCTTATCTCATCATTTTTTGACCTTTTTTCGTCCTATCTTATCCTTTCTGGTCTTTTTCATCTTTATTATCCTTTCTCGTCCTTTTTCGTTCTTTTTTCGTCCTTCGTCCTTTATGTCCTTTTTCGTCTTTTTTATCCTCATTTTCCTTTTCGTCCTTTTTCGTCCTTTTTCGTCCTTATTATCTATTATCGTCCTTTTTCGTCCTTTTTCATTCTTATTATCCTTTTTCGTCCTTCTTCGTCCTTGTTATTCTTTTTGTCCTTTTTCGTCATTGTTCTTTCTTGTTCATCCTTTCTCGTCCTTTTCGTCATTCTTATCCTTTTTCGTTCTTTTTCGTCATTTCTCGTCCTTTTTCGTCCTTTCTCGTCGTTTTCGTCCTTATTATTCTTTTTCCTCCTTTTCCGTCATTTTTCGTCCTTTTTCGTCCTTCTTCGTCCTTCTTCGTCCTTCATCATCACTTTTCGTCTTCATTATCCTTTTTCGTCCTCTTCGTCCTTTTTCGTCCTTTTCGTCTTTTTTCGTCCTTATTATCCGTTTTCGCCTTTTTTTGTCCTTCTTATTCTTTTTTGTCCTTTTTCGTCCTCATAATATCTTTTTTCGTCCTTGTTCGTCCTCATTATATCTTTTTTCGTCCTTTTTCGTCCTTATTGTTCTTTTTCGTCCCTTTTCATCACTTTTCGTCCTTATTATCCTTTTTCCTCTTTTTCGTCCTTTGTCGTCCTTATTATCCTTTCCCGTCCTTTTTCGCTTTTTCGTCCTTCAAAATTCAAATTCTTAACGGACCTTGACGAAGACAGCGTTGACTGTGTTTTACAGTGTTACAACGAGGACATCGAATTAGAAAAGAAAGAAAATTGTTATATAATTTGTTTCTGTTTGTTTATTATATTTAATTTTTGTATTTTTTGTTATTGTTTTTTTATATTAAAGTATTGAAAATGTGTAAATTAAATGCTTTTAACAAACTTCTGTTCATAAATGGGGCCCCCAACAGTCTAGATCTGCCTTTGTTTAGCTTTGCCCTTACCAAAAAGTGGTCTGAATTTGTGTCGGCCCCTCGACAGGTTTTCACTCATCATGTTATTAACTTGGAGTGTTTATTATACTAGGCTATTGTTGGTTGATTCTTCATGCTTGCTGTGTTTTCCTACTATTTCCTTATATATTTCTTCTCTCCCTACTTTTGCATTTGTCCATTTCTTCATAGAATGCATCCTTTACATCATATTCTTTTTCTTCTGTCGGTGTATATTTACAACGAATAGATTTTGGTTTTGTTCTTTTACCCTTATTCCACAAATCCTATCTGATGTGTGCATAAAGACTATTATTTTTCCTAGGTACCTGCCAGATGTGTTTCTTGTAAGGCTATTAATTCTATTTTAAATCTTTTAATTTCCTTAATGAGGTTTTTGATAGCTCTTTCTTCACAAATACTCCTTATATTCCATGTTCCTATGAGTATAATATTTTATTTTTGTTTCATTGTTCTGTTCTTTATTTCTCTTCTTTTCTTCCTTCTCTTATTATAATTTGCTTTCGTATTTCTCTATCTTTTTTCGATAAATCATCTTGAATCTGATTAAACATGTTTTCTTTAACTCTTTCTGCGCCTTTTTACTTCCCGAGCGTAAGCAAAGGAAGTATTGTAATCGAGTCCGTCGGCCGACTCTCTACTTTTACGTTTTCTCGATCTTTCATGACACCTAGAAGACGAAGAAATAGGTCTCCCATTTCCGTCTGTCTGTCCGTCTGTCCGTCCGTCTGTCCGTCTGTTGTCCCGGATTTTTATTAGACAGATAATCTCCGAAAGTACTCGACCGATTGTTGTGAAATTTTGTACTTATATTAAGAATATCATGTAGATGGTAAAACGCTAACCAAAATTTGTCTAATCATCCCCACCACTAATGCGATGACGTCACTTCAAAATTGTACATAGTAAATGGGTTTTCAATTGTATAAAATAACATAGTCCTACACATGTAGTTTACAACTCTGAATCGACTTTTCACCCGAAACATCCAGATTTTTGGAAAAAAAATCAAAATTATAAAACAACATTTTGAAATTTAATTTTAATCTGCTAACCAGAATGCTTTGAAATGTTGCAGATGTTTTAAGGCTATAAAGAGCATCATAAATCTTTAGTCAAAAAATATTTGCTTATCCCCTCCAAAAACTTGATGACGTCAGCTCAAAAGTTTGTGGAATAAATCATATCTAAAATGTACAAAATATGATGAGTCTGTACTTGTGATCTATCACTCCATTCATATTTTTTGGATTTGCATATACAGGGTGACTCAAAAAAATTAATGAATGCGTAAATATATTTTATTGATTTAATCAGGAACTACAAAACCGAATGCTCTGAAATCTTGCAGATGTTTTAAGGTCATAAAGAGCATAATAAATGTTTAGTCAAAATATATTTGCTTATCCCCTCCAAAAACTTGATGACGTCAGCTCGAAAGTTTGCCGAATAAATCATATCTAAAATGTACAAAATATGATCAGTCTGTACTTGTGATCTATCACTCCATTCATATTTTTTGGATTTGCATATACGGGGTGATTCAAGAAAATAAATGAAAGCGTAAATTTATTTTACTGATTTACTCAGGAACTACAAAACCGAATGCTTCGAAATCTTGAAGATATTTTAAAATTATCATAAGCATGGTAAATTTTTGATCAAAACGTATTTGGTCGTCCCCCCTAAAAAATTTATGACGTCACCACAAAATTTTGCTGAATAAATCCTATCTAAAATGTACAAAATATGGTGAGTCTCTTCTTGTGATTTATCATTCCATTCAAATTTTTTCGATTTGCATATACAGGGTGACTCAAAAAAATTAATGAATGCGTAAATTTATTTTATTGATTTAATCAGGAACTACAAAACCGAATGCTTTGAAATCTTGCAGATGTTTTAAGGTTATAAAGAGCATAATAAATTTTTAGTCAAAATATATTTGCTTATCCCCTCCAAAAACTTGATGACGTCAGCTCGAAAATTTGCCGAATAAATCGTATCTAAAATGTACAAAATATGATGAGTCTGTACTTGTGATTTATCATTCCATTCATATTTTTGGATTTGCATATGCAGGGTGACTCAAAAAAATTAATGAAGGCGTGAATTTATTTTATCGATTTAATCAGGAATTACAAAACCGAATGCTTTGAAATCTTGGGAATATTTTAAAGTTATTATAAGCATGGTAAACTTTTGTTCAAAATGTATTTGTTCATCCATCCTAAAAAAATTGATGACGTCACCCTTAAATTTTGCTGAATAAATCCTATCTAAAATGCAAAAAATATGATGAGATTGTACTTGTGATTTATCATTCCATTCATATTTTTTAGATTTTCTTAAGAGGTGGTTCAAAAAAATTAATGAAGTCAATTTATTTTATTGATTAAATTAAAGACAACACTCATTATTAGTATTACACCCCAACCAAACCAATTTGGTAGACACAAAATTTGTTAAAGGAAAAACTCGGTTGAAACATAAGGGTAGCACGCTTATTTACATCGACTTTAACATTACAGACCTGCATTTGTTTTATGCGCTCACTTGGTTCCGCGAATGTGAAATAGACATGTTTATAATCAACCAATTGTGAATTTCACCGTCAAGAATTAAAATAAAACCCAATGTTTTATATAATAAGCGGAAGTCGAAGCAATAAAACCGATGGTCGTTTTGTTTACAGTTTCTCTGTTTGACTCTCACGTATGCTGTTACGCCTGTCATCTTAAATTAAGAATGTTTATACATACACGATTTTCAGTTGCCTCTGATACGTATACGTGAGTAAATTGTTTCGTTATTTTATTGATTATTACAAATCAATATTCAAAACGACCCAATTCATTTTCCCGAAAATTTGAGAATATAATAATTTTATTCTTAGTATTACACTACATCTATCTCAACTGATATACGTGTCCTTGCAAAAATGTTGATGACGTCAGCGCAATTTTTTTTTAAATTCCCACTACAAAAATGTAATGAGAAAAAAAACACAATAGGCATGCAGTCGTCAAGTTTCCGTCAGCGAGGGAAGTACTGTCTAAACGCTTTAGACCAATTTTTTTAAATCTTCGTCAGTTTCTATTTTCAGTCCTTGTAACACCACGTTTGTTTTTTTATTCATCTTGTTCATTCTTGTGTCCTTTTTTCGTTCATCTCTTCTATTGTTTCTGTCGATTTTTTCGTCCATTTCTTTGTTCCTTATGTTCAGCTAATAATAAGTAATAAAAGACCGTTCTTGAATTTATTTTTTATTTTTATTGACACAACGAAGCGATTATCATTTTTTACGTAGTTCCAAACGATTTCAGAAACACAGCTGCGAGTAATTTAATACACCAAATAGAAAACTATAATTGGAATATATACGACGATTTTGCTTCCTTTTTTGTTTGTTTCACCACGATTTTCACCAAGCCTTCTAATTAATCCCGGGGCGTCTGTTGGTATCGGTTCCTGTTTGCCGCACAACGATGGGTATTCGGGGGTATCGCCACACTTTGTCGCATTCGGACAACTGTCACATGGAGTTTCTGTTCTTTGGTACACTGGTTGTTCTAGTACATTTCCAGCTAAGCGGGGAGTAACGAAACTTGCGTAATTGCAGATCAGAGTATGCTTCCAAGAGGCCAAGCTTTCGGGACTATAAACCATCGAACATCCCAGTCGGTTAGCACTCCACCAAACCAACTGGGTCAAGTGTCCAGTGCCGTGTTGTCCAATATATTTGTCTACATACTTTTCGTTTTTTATCAAAGCTACTTCATCGTACCTACAAAGAGAAAAAAAATTGGTTGGTTTATTGACCATGTGCGAATAATCTTACCAGTTCTGTATTCCCCTAGTGATAATCTTATTCGTGTCATTTCTGCTAGTACCGTACAAATTTTGCCCAACACTTAGGTGGCCTATGCGAACTCTGCACTTATCGTGACCTGTTAGGTCTTTGGCACTGTGTCTGTAACTCGTCACTCCACGACATCGAGTGATGTATTCCAGCTCGAGGTCATAACTCATCACCATCATGTTACCAGCAGCTGGAGACCACCCTGAACACAAAAAAATTAAAAACTGTTGTACACTCGAATAGTGTCTCACCTTCATTTGGCCTGGTTTCTTTGCCTGACGCTATGTAGTCCCGCCATTTGTTATGTTCGGCGAGGACCTTCGTTCTAAATTCCACGAAAGGTATGTATCTCATTTCCTCTCGTGGTGGTGTAATGGCACACTTGCAAGCAGAGTGTACGTCCTCATCGCAGTTCAGTGTGCAGTAGTCGAACTTTGTGTACTTGTTTGGTTTATCTTGATAAGCACCCAGTGTCGCATAGGAAAACGATAGAACGAAAAAGATCGAAATATGGTACATTATTTTGAATTTCGGGCCAAAATTCTTTTCGAATTAAAAAAAAAGACGTTTTAATAAATTGACATAAACGTAAATGTATTGTTTCTATAGTGACTTTGAACGTATGCCTGCTTCGAATTTGTTAATAAGTTTACTTAGAAGGCGAACAAGAAATAGTCCAGAGTAGAGACCCTAGATATACTTTGGAAAAGAGTTGTGACACGAAACGTCAAAATTAATGGTAAATTTTATTTTACTATGCTGGCTACGGATGCCTTTTTTGAGTCATGTTTTGACAGTTTGTAATTGTCATTTAGTACATAGACGTGGAAGAGAATAGTCGTCGTCTGTTGTGTACGAAACTGTAGAAATACAGAAGCAAATGGTTTCTCATTGTTTAAAGGCCCCGAAAACAAGATATTACTTAACAAATGGAAAGAAGAGATGCAATATCCATCTTGAAAAATTGGCAAAAGGGCTTACATTTGCGAGGTTGTTGTCCGAAATTGTATTTTCCATCTAATCCTTGGTCAACAGGTTCACTTCAAAAAAGAGAATTTTATATTTCAAGTGAATGCAAAATATGTGAGAACGCAATTCCAACAATTTATAATGTGGCTGTATTTACGTCAAAATGACTTGGCAAAAAAAAAATGTTATTGATGAAGTTCAGCAGACTATTTTCGAAAAAGACAACTTTATCAAAAAATTGCAAATGAAAAAATGTTACAAGAAAAAATAACGCGGGGTGCTGAAGAAGAAATTAATGTTTTGAAAGCAAAAATTTCAAGTTTAGAAGGGCAAGTAATAAATTACAAAAATAAGGACGATGCATAAAACAGAACTATAAAAGGGATTCTCAACGAAAAGCAAATTCAAAATTGAAGTGTGAAATGTAAACTACCAAAACGCTGGAACAATAAAACAATAGAAGAAGCCATTAAAACAAAAATTTGTCTGTGGAACATCAGGACATAAGTATATCTTTTGAATATAAATTTTCCGATACCTTCAAAGTGGAACCCTATGCCGTAAAATTCAGCACATACCGTTTTTACCAGGAATTTTACATGCAATTTTTACCTATTTAACAATCAAAATTCAAAATTTTAACGATTAGGAAAGAGATTATTGTTTATTTTTAGGCGAAGCAGCAATCAATCCAGGTAAAGAATACTGTCGACGTTCCTCATTACTTTTGGGAAACAACATTAACAAATTTAAATGAAGTCGCTATCTATGTTTTGTTTTTTATGTTAGGAGGTGTAAGCTTACGATGGAAGCAAATCGTATGTTATCATTTTACTGGGAATTCCACATACGGAGACACATTATCTAGAATTGCAAAAGAAATTAAAATCAAAAGTACAAAAACGCAGTTCCAAAATTCAATAGTTAACCCAAATAACAAAAGTAGGAATGTTGATTTTGCTGCTAACGCTCCACCTTTATCTAAAAATGTTCAATCCAACCTCATGTATTCTTCGGCAATTTAATTAATTGTTTGTGGAACATTTCTTAATTATTTCGAGTTACAGAAATTCGATGACCATGCTTGTTTTTGTATTTTTTTTTTCATTGTTATTTTAATTAAAAGATGTAACAAATTTTAACTTGTAAGTTTTATTTAATATAGAGGTACATGAATCTATATATTTCTACTGAGATTTTTCTACATATCAGAGCAAATATTCATGATGGAAATGTGAGGACGTTGTAAAAACACTGTTTATCATAGAGTAGTAGATAGAGAACCTACTAAACATGCTTCAAATTTCTTACCACGGTGCCGTTCGTTAAATTACAAAATGTTGTTTTGACCAGAAGCAAAACGATTAGATACTGACAATGTGATACACTCTCCAAATCTTAGCTGGGAACAACGATAGTACCTAAGTACAGAATGGTGTTTAAACTTAACTGCAAATTGTGATATAAGTAATCTTATAAAGTGTAAATCAGTATGATTAGGTATTCCGTATTTTTCTGTTTTACCAGCGATGCCGGTTGCAAATTGTAAGAAGTACTTAACCGCATAACACTTCTTAAATATAAGGTACTGTCAGTGTCAGTACTGTTAACAAAATTTCAAAGAAACTATTTGGAGCACTACGCCACTGCTTGAAAATGTAACTTAACCTATAAATTTCTTTTGAAGTTTTTGAAACTAAATCACTAAATTAGATAAAGACAGCAATCACTATAGCTGTTTCATAACTGACCGTCATGTAATAAAGATAGAGACAGAAAATGTCCGTGTCACAACTCTTTTCCAAAGTATATCTAGGGTCTCTAGTCCAGAGGGGTTAAATCTGGTGATCTTTATTTTTTTATTTTTTATTTTTTATTTATTTATTTTTTTTATTTTATTTTATTTTTTCCAACGGGGTTACACCCAATTACAGGAAAAATATAAATGGAAACTGCACAAAATTAAAAATTAAAAATTAACAATTAACAATTACAAGAAAGTAAAACTAAAAAGAAAAGAAAATTTTATCCATATAATGATTGCTTAACAGAACTAACAATTTTGTTAATCGAGTCGAAATTTATATCGCATAAGTGTGAAATTTGATTGAAATAACTACACATAATACTAACTGGAGATCTTCTTAAAACGTTAGTTCTGTCAGCAGTACAATAAAATACGTGATTTTGGCGTGCATTAATTCTTGGTACAAGAAAATTTAAATAGTGGAGCAATTCAGGGCAGTCTACTTGATTTCTAACTAAAAAAAACAAAAATTTAATGGCGATAATAATTCGTCTTTTATGCAATGATAAAAAATTAAATCTTAATAATAATAACGAGTGGTCATATCCTCGACAAGGATAGACCCCATCCAAAAGAAAAGACATAAATTTTAAGAACAAGCGTTGAACCGATTCTATATGATCAATCTGGTTTTGATAAATTGGAAACCAAATTAAGGCACCATATTCAATTCTCGATCTGACTAGTGCGAAAAATAGAGCCTGTAACGTGTCGACACGCTTAAAGTCACGACAATTTCTGTAAATAAATCCATACGTCCGAAAGCATTTGGAAACCATATCATTTATATGATCGACAAAACTAAGCTTACAATCAAAGAGGATACCAAGATCTTTAATAGACTCACATCGCTTAATTAAAGTACCATCTATATTGTAAGAAAAGAGTATATTATCATGTTTTCTTGAGTAAGTTACGATGGAGCATTTATCAAGATTTAAGTAAAGTCGATTTACTGAGCACCAATTAACAACAGCTGTTAAATTGTTTTGTAGATTTAGACAATCCTGTATCGAGTTGATTTGGAAAAAAAGTTTTAAATGATCTGCAAACATTAATTTTTTACAAGAGATGTTATCAACGATATCATTAATAAAATATAAAAATAAAAGTGGTCCAAGGTTAGATCCTTGGGGAACACCTGAAGTAGGTTTGATAACAGTAGATGTAAAATTGCGATATCGAATATACTGTTCACGATCGAAAATGTACGAAGTAAAAAGTTGGATAAGTCTGTCAGAGAATCCAAAGTGAAGCTTATCGATTAGTAAATAGTGATCGATTTGATCGAATGCTTTTTGAAAATCCAGATATATGGTATCTACCTGCTTTTTTTTGTCGATGGCCTCAGATGTATACTGTGTAAAAGATGCTAGATTAGAAATTGTAGAGCGTTTCTCCATGAACCCGTGCTGAAACGGTGACAAATTGGTTTTGGTCGAAGCATAAATGTGTTTAAATAAAATCGACTCGAATACTTTAGCAAAATTACAAAGCAGCGAGATGGGTCTGTAATTGACAATTTTCGATTGATTTCCTTTTTTAAATATCGGACAAACGATTGCCTTTTTCCAAATAACAGGAAAGACACCACACCTTAATATTAAATTAAATAAATATACACAAGGTTTAATAAAAACATAGGCACAGTCCTTTAAAAGGAAGCTGGGCACACCATCATGTCCCATAGTAAAAGAGTCTTTAGAACTTTTTAGTGCTGTAAGAACATCCTTTTCTGATATGGTTTCAAGATTAATCAAGACGGACGACCTAGTTTTAGAATTGGAAGAAGAAGTAAGCGGATTAGAGTTGGTATAAACACTGTTAAAATAGTGCGCAAATCCTTCAACTATAGATAGCGGTGATATAAGCTCGGTATCATTGTATTCCATTACGCCTGGAATTTTAGAGTGACCTTTTTTGCCATGTACGAAACTCCAAAATTTTTTTGGATTTGTGGAGACGCTGTTCTCGATATTAGAAATATAATTCTTGTACGCTGTGTCGATTAAAATGTTGAGCTGGGAACGATATGACTTGAAGATGTTATAATAGTATGGCGTTTTAAATCTTATGTAGTTACGATGGGCCATCGATTTATTACGAATACAGGCAATAATGTCACCAGTGAACCAAGGAGGATAACTTTTACGAGATGGAGGCCTAACTTTAAACTTTGGTACCGACTTTTCAAATACTTTATATATACAGTCATAAAACACGGTGCAGGCTTGATTGACATCACAGATTGAGTTTATGAAAGACCAGTCAGTCTCTGAAAAGAGCTTGTACATTAAATGATAATTGGCTTTCTTAAAATTATATGTTAATTTTTCCGTGTTCATCGCAAAATTGGGCTTAAACTGATCATCTACATAACAGTCCACAACCAGTGCTGGGTGATGTTTATCTTCAACCACTAACGGGGAATCTGCTTTACTTACTTTACAATTAATATTGGAGAACACTAAGTCTAGATACCTGTTGTAGCTGTTACAAATACAATTAACTTGGATCAAATTGAAAAATTCTTTAAAATTAGTTAGGACAGAACTAGATCGATTTTTTAAGCCATCTACAAAACAGGGAGTGTTGAAGTCACCTAATATTATTAATTTGTCGTTCTGGACGATATTTAAGTTCATGAAGGATTCAAAAAACAAGTAGAAGTCATCAAAAGCAATTGTAGGTGGAATATAAATTACAAACATTAAAAATTTTGATTTACCCGTAATTTTAACGCCAACAATGTCAATGCTTGGAACCAAAGTTGTGATAGAAGATAGATCAATACGTACTGAGTTGTAGAGGCTATCAACAGCAAGAAGAACGCCACCACCTCTAGTTATATTAAGAGAATCCAAATTTCGATCCTGCCGATAAATAACAAAATTAGCTGGAAATAATTCACTACTGGAGATATCCGGTGTGATCCATGTCTCGGTGACTGCTATAAAATGATATTCACTTGCAGCTACTGAATTAAAAAATTGTACACATTTAGATCGCAAGCCTCTAACATTTTGGTAAAAGCACTGAGAACATTTAAGGTAATTGGGTGACGAAGTCAGTTTAAATGTTGACTCCTTCCTTTATTAGCACGAGTGATTTGAGCAACATTGTTGTTATAAATTAACCTCAGATCTGATTCACCCCGTGATCTTCGAAGATTAATTTCTTCAATCACAGCATAGTTTTTAGCTCTTTGAAGTCTAGTAAGATCCGCTCGAAAGTGGAATTTCTTGTTGGGGTTAGTTTTATTCGAACGCAAATATAATTGGGCTTCTTCACAATCTTCGAAAACCATCTTTAAATTACTCATTTGGAATCTTACTTCCTGGAATCTTTAAAATCTTTAGAATCTTTAGATTCTCTACAAGCTATATATAATATATAATTCAGCTCTGCAGGCCTTAAAGGCCCTGGGCTTTTTTCAATGCCTAAGTTTTGAAGATCTTTTCGAACATCGTCTATCCACTTCAGTTTTGGCCTTCCTCTCTTTTTCTTTCCTCCTTTTAGGCGGTCTAATACTTTCCCAATTGTCCTTTCCTCTGGTGCTCTTCCGACGTGGCCTAGCCATCTTAGTCTCTGTGCTCTGATTATCTTCGTGATTGTTGGTTCTCCGTATATTTCCTCGATCTCTCGGTTTGTTCTTCTTCTCCATTGGTCTAGTTCTTTTATACCTCCATATATCTTTCGTAGTATCTTGCGTTCCCATACTTCCAACTTCTGTTCCTTTTCGTTCGTTAGCGTCCATGTTTCACTAGCGTACAGGACTGTAGGTCTTACTATTGTCTTATATACTTGTTTCTTTGTTCGTCGTGTTACATTCTTACTCCTCAGAAATCTGTTTAATCTTCCTACACTCTTGTTTGCTTTCGCGATCCGTTCTTCTATCTCTTCGTTCATTTCGTTTTTGTTTGTAATTACTACTCCTAGATATTTGAACCTATTTACTTCTTCGAATTCGTATGTTGTTCCTTCTTCTGTAGTTACTTTCAGTGGTTTTGCTGGGGTTTGTTTTGTTTCCATCTTCATAAACTTCGTTTTCTCTTGGTTGATCGCTAAACCCATTCGTTTCGCTTCTCTGATTAGATTTTTTGTCGTTTTCTTCATTTCTGCTTCTGTTCTCGTTATACATGTCACGTCATCTGCAAAGGCTATATTTTGGTGTCTTTTTTCGTATATCGTGCTCGTTCTGTGGATGCCACTTCTCCTTATTATTGCTTCGAGTACTAGATTGAACAGGGTCTCCTTGCCGGAGTCCTGTTCTTACTTGGAATGGCTCTGACAACAGACCATTTATCCTGACTCTGTTTCTGGTGCTCTGCAGGGTCATCTTTGTCAGTTTTATTAGTTTTCTTGGGACTCCCAGTTCTTGCATGGCTTCTAGCAGTTCTTTCCTGTTAACTGTGTCATAGGCTTTTTTAAAGTCTATGAACAGCAGATATAAGTTGATTCCCTGTTGGTAATGTACTTCTTGTAGTTGCTTCAATATAAATATCTGGTCTACAGTAGATCTATTTTCCCTAAACCCTGCTTGATATTCCCCTACTATTTTTTCCATATGCTGCTTTAGTCTTCGGTTGATGCAAGTGGCCATTACCTTATACGTTACGTCTAGCAGCGCTATTCCGCGATAACTTTCGCATTTCATAATATCTCCTTTTTTAAATATCGGGCAAAGTACTGCTTCACTCCATTGTTCTGGCATTTTTCCTTCCTTCCAACATTCTAGCACTGGTCGATGTATCTCTGATGCTACTGCTTCTCCTCCGTACTTTAGCGTCTCGCCCTTTATTCCGTTTCTACCAGGACTTTTGTTGTTTTTCATCTGCCTTAGTGTTTCTCTGATGTCTCCTTCGTCAATTTCTATTGTTTCATCTGGGTCATCCGAGTCGTTCACTCTTTCGTTCGTATCTTGCTGTGTATCCTGTTCGTTTAGCAGCTCTTCAAAGTATTCTGCCCATCGTTTTATTCTTGCTTGTTCGTCTCCTATCAGGTTGCCGTCCTTGTCTTTACAATATATTACTCGTGGTTGATAGCTTCTTCTCTTTTTTTTCACGTCCTGGTAGAAGTTCCTTATTTCGTTCTTGTTGAAGTTTTCTTCTATTTGTCGTATTTGTTCTTCCATCTTTGCTCGTTTCTTATTTCTGCATATCTTCTTGTACTCTTTCCTTTTTTCTTGGTAATCTTTTTGGTTTTTCTCATTTTTTGATTTTAGATATTTCTGTCTGGTATGACCTCCCCGCTTCTATTGCTTTTCTACATTCCTCGTCAAACCATTCGTTTCTATTTTTGTTGTCTTTTTTGACGAACCCTAGTACTTCTTCCGAGGTCTTCCATATGTTCTCTTGTAGTTCTTCCCACCTCCCTTCTATAGGTATGTCTTGCTCTGTTGATCTTATTCTCTCATTCATCTTTTGTTCGTATTCCTGTTGTACTTCAGCTTTCTTAAGTTTGTTTACATTTATATCACGTTGCGTCTTCTTTCCTTCTTTTTTCTTCGGTATTTCTTGTTTGAGGTCTGCTCTTACTAGAAAGTGGTCTGAATTCGCTTCTGCTCCCATGTAGCTTCTTAATCTGGTTATTAGTTGGGCATCTCTCCTTTCTACCAGTATGTGGTCTATTTGGTTGACCGTTTTTCCGTCAGGCGACATCCATGTGCCTTTGTAGATCTCTTTCTGCTACCATTTTATTTTCTTCTGCAAACTCTATCAGTTTTTCTCCATTTTGATTCGTTTTTTGGTGTTTGCTTTCTTTCCCGATTGTTGGCCTGTAGCAATTCTCTTTACCTATCATTGCGTTGGCGTCTCCTATAACCATTTTAATGTCATGCTTTGGTATTTTCACATATTCTCTTTCTAGTTCTTCGTAATATTCTGTTTTTACTTCTAGATCTTTCTCTTCAGTCGGTGCATGTATATTCATTAGGCTTATTTTCCTGTACTTACTTCTCAATCTTATATAGCTCATTCTTTCTGAGATTGGTTTGAAGGTAATTACTGCTCCTTTCAGGCTCTTCTTCACCATGAATCCTGTTTCTAGTTCTCTGTTGTCAACTCCGCTATTAAATAATATGTAGTTGTCTATTTCAGAGATGAATTTGCCGTTTTGTTTCGTCTCTTGTATAGCTGCTAAATCTATATTATACCTTTGTAATTCTTGAACTATTTGTTTCTTGTTTATATGTTCCTCGAACATTCCATGTTCCTATTCTAATTTTCGGGTTTTTCTTTCCCTTCGTAATTCCTATCGAGTCATCCATGAGCTTTGCATACGTCGTCATTGTTTTCCTGTGTGTGGTTTCTTCCTCTGTTAGTTTTTTGGATTTTCTTTGGGGTGAGACGTTGCTTTCACTAATATGTCTAATTTAGTGCCCCAATGCCAGACTTCTCCTGCCCATATCATCTTTTTGTACCCTACTTTTGCCTCGACTCCTTTCCTTTTTTCTGCTGCTGCTATTCCTCTTATTTTCTTCTGTATCTCGCTCTCTTGTTTGGTGTAATCGTCTTCAATAAAGGTTTTTGATCCTTTTAATTTGTTCTTCTGTTTCATGATTGCTCTTTTTGTGTCCCAGTTCTCTATCTTTGCTACTACTATGTCGTATTTTTCGTTGACTAATCTTGCGTCTTGTATCTTAGTTTGGATTCCTACCTTACTTTTTAGGAGTTCTTCAACCTCTGCTGTTATTTCGCTTCCTTGTAGTTTCCCTCCTTTGATTACGATGTTGTTTCTCCTTTCTGCTTTTTTCAGTTTTTCTAAGTGTTGCTCCACTCTTTCTAATCTTTCGGTCAGTCTTTGGTTTTCTTCTCTTAGTGTTGTTACTTCTGTTTGGTATGCTTTTTGGTCTCTTTTCATTCTTTACTTCGTCCATGTCTCCTGCTTGTACCCTCTTCTGCTTCCGCTGTACTCTTTAACCTTCCGGTGATGGTGAAAAGGAGGTTTCTCTTTTTCGTTTCTGGTTGTCTTGTTCTTCTATTGCTAGTTTGTGTCTCTTTCGCTTTTGACGCTCGATATCTCTCGATTTTCGAGTTTGGATTTCGGAGCGTGTTCTGCTTATCGTATAGTATCGTATTACTTTTAGTACTGTTAGAATCACACGAATTTTTGGAATTTTTATGAAAGGTAGAATTCTTTGGATTTCTTTAAAATATTTAGGATTTTTAAAATCCTTGCACTATTTATGAATTTCCGGGTATGTTTGCAATCTTAATCTCAAATATTATCGAGATATTTTGCATTTTTAGAATTTAGAGAAAAATACTTTTGGAATTTTAAAAATATCCATGATCTTAAGCAATTTTTAGAAGTAGAACAGAAAATTATTGAGTATATATTTTGAATGTTTAGACTTCTATAGTTACCTAGCATTTTTAGTATCTTCCGAATGATTACTCATTTGGAATCTTACTTCGTGGAATCTTTAAAATCTTTAGAATCTTTAGATTCTCTACAAGCTATAGTATCACTAAAATATATATAATGTTTAGAGTTTCTAAAATCTCTACAATCTTCAGAATTTCTAATGTCTTTGGGATTTTTTCTTGGCCATTTCTACTATTTCTATAATCCAGGAGTCTTTTGTATTTCTGGGAACTCTAAGATCCTTTTAGGTTTTCTTATTAAGGTTTTTAGATCTGTGATTTTAATATGATCAAGTTTATTGACTGTTTTTCCATGGTTTCTAGGATCCCGGAATCTTTTGTACTTCAGGAATTTTGAAATGCTTTTAAGGTTTCTATGATCTTTAAGGGGACTCGCTAGACGAGGTATAACATTTTTTTGGTTTTTTGTATGAAAAAATGATATTAATATAGATGTATCGTACATCAAACTGCAGCTTTTTTCATATTATAGAGCGCAAAGAGACCAGTTCAATCAACTAAAAAAATATGGCTGAGAAATATCGTAAAAAAAGCACCATTGTATGTTTTCTTTTCAAGTTTTTTGAGTCATTACCATCATAGAATCGCTTGAAAATTCGCACATGGATAAAACATCACTTTTTACAGGGCGCAGAGTCATTAAATGTTTGTTAGTGGTACAATTTGTTTAAATAATAATGTGTTTATTAAAATCAAAATATACCACAAATTAATGCAAAATACGTGGAATAATTTTAACAGGAATATCAGAGGAAAATTGATGATCTATTGGTTAGCAGAGTTTTTAACAAAAACTAACAATTATTGAAAAAAATGGGTGTCAATTCGACAGATTTTGAGCCGTTAGTTCAGTACTTTGCCGATAGGAACGCCACTAAAATTTACGAAAGCGACTTTCCAGGTAAAACCCTTATCGCCTGCTCTACCATAAGCTGAATGTTACTCAGTTTTATAACAAGCCGCCAGGACCGGCCGTAGTATTCTATTGTTAAGGAAATTAATTTTTACGCAATGAGGTACTATCATAAAACCGAATTAAAACTAGGGAACTATAATATTTTTACTCCACTCAGGATCCTGAATTCAATACACATGATTACAAAAAATTCATTGTAATATTATTGTTAATATATTTTGCTTTGTTAATTAATAAAACTAATAAATATATTTATAATAATAATAAAAAATATATAAAATATAGCTTTTGTTTAACACGTATAAGTAGCTAAGTGTATCTACTACTTATCCCAGAAAGGAGGTGTTTTAAAAAAGCCCTACGCCCAGTAACTTCTCCCTTCATTGTTTACTCGAAAAAAGTGTTCGTATATGTTTTCATTTGCCGAGAGATCATTTTCAAAATATATTTATAATAAAAATATGCAAGTCTTGGTGATGAAAAATGTACCCCTAATAAATTATTAAAGGACATAAAAAAATAGAAACAAATTTTATTTATTTTAAAAAAATCTCTCGCAAAGGCAAGTTCTTCTTTCTTCTTGAATCAATTATTTCAGGCAATAAAGCGCCAAAGCAAAATCTGCCATCTTTTTACATATATTTCTTCTTTATAATTTTTTTCTATATTTATTACTTTGGGTGTCCATACAACAAAATAAACTTGTGAAATACCCGTAACAAGCATTTGTCCCTGGACTTGAAAGTAGTAATCATGATTTTTTAAGGAAATTGTTTTGAAATAAACAAGCCACACCGTTCAGTTTTTATATTTTTATTTATTTCAAAACATTTGACAGCTTTTTCCTCACTTTGTTGTCCATAGTATGTATGACTATTACCTCTAAATGTACTGTACAACAGAGACTCCACAGTTTTAGCTATTGCTGTAGTCGGTCTAAGTTTGTAAATACGTCCAAAATTTGAAGCCGTAACCCTAATTTCTCTTTCTTTTGCCCAAATATGCCTGTTGCCTAGTGTCTATTTCAATTTGGTCTAAATTCAAAGATAATTTTCTCAAAAAAACCTCTTTGGCTGTCACAAATGTTTCTACATCCATGACAAGATTTTCTAAAAAATTTTAAAACCATAATCGCACTCGGGACCAGCATACGTAAATTTTTTTACGACATATTTTTTTACGAATACTTTGTCTAAGACGAGCTTGTTTTATAGACGAACAATATTTTTTTGTTATTAAACCAGGACCGTTTTAATCACAATATATTTACTTATCCCTTCTAAAAAATTGATGACGTCACCCCAAAATTATGCTGAATAAATTCTATCTAAATTGTATAAAATATGATAAGTCTCTTCTTGTGATTTATCATTCCATTCATGTTTTTTGGATTTGCATATACAGGATGACCCCAAAAAGTAATGAATGCGTAAATTTATTTTATTGATTTAATCAGGAACTACAGAACCCAATGCTTTGAAATCTAATGTGAACAAAAACATAATAGGCATGCAGTCGTCACGTTTCCGATAGCGAGGGAAGTACTGTCTAAACTCTTTAGACCAATTTTTTTGATTTTCCCATTTTTCCATTTCTCAATTTTTCAATGTTTCAGTTTGGGATTTTTTCACTGTTTCGATTCTTTAATTTTCTTTCCATTTTTAGGTTTTTCAATATTTCAGCTTTGGAATTTTGCAATATTTCGTTTCTTTAATTTTTCAAATTTTTGATATTGTGTTTTCTCGGTTTTTAAATGTTTCGATATTTTAATTTTTCAGTTTTTAAAGTTTTAGGTTTTTACATTTCTCACTATCTCGACTTTTCGATTTTTCAGTTCCATGATTTTTCAATTTGTCGAATTTTTAAATTTTAGATTTTTTGTTCTCGATCATTCAATTTTCTGAGTTTTCAGGCTTAGATTTTTTTTGTTGCTCAATTCTTGGATTTTCAAAATTTTTGTTTTTAAAATTTTCCTATTTATCAACTTACTGGGATTTCAATGTTTTGATTTTTTGATTGTTCAATTTCTCGATTTTTTGAATTTTTAGTTTTTGATACGATTTTTTTTTCAAAAATTTTCAGTTTTTCAATTTATTAACTTTACGATATTTCAATTTTACGATTTTTATTTTTTTTATTTTCCAGTTTTCAATTTTTGACGTTTCTAATTTTTCGATTTTTCAATTTTTCGATTAACTGATTTTTTGATTTTCCCATTTCTCTATTTCTTGATTTTTCAATTCTTTCTTCAATTGTGATTTTTCAATTTTTCGATTTCTGGATTTTTCAATGTTTCAGTTTTGGACTGTTTCACTTTTCCGATTGTTCAATTTTCTTTCCATTTTTCAGTTTTTCAAGATTTCAGTTTTGAATTTTTTCACTTTTTCGATTTTTCAGTTTTCCTTCCATTTTTCAGTTTTTCAGTATTTCAGTTCTGAGATTTTGCAATGTTTCGGTTCTTCAATTTTTCCATTTTTTGATGTTTCGATTTCTCGGTTTTTCAATTTTTAAGTCCTAGATTTTCCGTTAATTTTTTTGTTTTCCTTGATGCTTTGATTTCTCGATTATTCGATTTTTCAAGTTCTCGGTTTAGATTTTTTGGTTTTCCAATTCTTCGATTTTTAAATTGTTTAATTTTTAGATTGTTCAATTTCTCGATTTATAGATTTTTCAATTTTTCGGTTTACCGATTTTTTTCATTTAAAATGTTTCAATTTTTCAATTATTAAGTTTTCGATTTTTCAATTTCGGTGTAATTTGAAAATGGTATTAATAATACATTTAGGCGAATAAACTAATAGATGGGCTTGATAAGCCTTGATCTTTTGTAGAGTCTTTATGGAGTTAAAATTTCCAGAATCTTTAATAGCTTCAGCCACTTTAGGACCATTAGTCTTGGAAATCTTTAATATTTTTACAATTTATGTGATCCCAAAAGATCTTTTAGACCTTTGGGATTTTTGGGACCTTTGTGGTTTTAAGATCATTAGGGTTATTGAGATCGTTAATATCTTTAGAATCTCTTTAGGTTCTCGAGGAGCCTTATTAACACCAGAATCTTTGTAAGATTTCTTTTAGGTGTGTAAGGTATTTAGTCTTTAGGATTTTTGAGATGTTTTTAAAGGTTTAAATTTTTTTATAATATGTAGAATACTTTCTTTAATAAGTGTGTGAATGTTTAAAGTACTAAACTACATTTTTGGAGTACTTAGATTATTCGATTACAAAATCTTGAAATATCTAAAATCTTTATAAACTAAAAATCTATAATTATCAATGCCTAAATAATTATCTAGCATCTATAGCATCTTCAGAATGATTAGAAACTTTCTAAAATCCCTAAAATCTCCACAATCTCTGGAAGCCTTAAAATCATTAAAATATATAATCTATAGAATCTCTTATAACTTCCAGTGTCTTTGAATTAGAATCTTTAGTGTACCTACCTTGTTTTTTTTTTTGCTGAAACAGAACTGCCATCTCAGTTGGCATTCATTTCAACTTTTACAATTATACAATTTTTGAATTTTTAGGTATTTTAATTTTTTATTTAAAAATTGTTTATTTTGCAACTTATTCAATTCGATGTTCATTTTTTCGATTTTTTAAATTGAATTAGACACGTATTTAAATACATATTTACGCTTTTAATTTTTGCGATTTTCCAATTTTTCAATTTTTTCAAATTCTTTTATTTTTCAACTTTTGACTTTTTCAGTTTTTTGTTTTATCAATTTTTTTTTTTTAATTTTTCTATTGTTTTTTCAATTATTTGTTTTACAGTGTTTCCATTTTGTAGTTTCTCGAATTTAAATTTTTTGATTTTTCAGTTTTTAATAATAATAATAAATAAATTGCATGTTCCGATATTCCAATTTTGGATTTTCCAATTTCTCAGTTTTTCGAATTGTAATTTTCCAATTTTCGATTTTTACAATTTTCTGATTGAACAATTTTACAGTTTCTCGATTTTAAATATTTTGATGTTCAATTTTTAGATCTTTAAGTTTTCAGAAACTACTTACAAAATTATATTTTTCCGTGTTTTCAATTTTTTATTTCTTCAATTATTATTATTTTTAATTTTCTTGAGTTTATTGTTTCTAGATTTCCAGTTTTTCTGATTTTAATTTTTCAATTTTCAAGGAAGAGAACACATTTATTCCAGCTGAAATTTTGAAAAACTAAAGTCGCAAAACTGGATCGAAAAAATGGAAAATTTAAAATCGAATAACTGAAAAATTTAAAATTTGGAATTTGAAAAACTGAGACATCTAAAAGCCGAAAAACCTTTAAAAATACAAAAAGCCTTCCCCATTGGCTACAACCAGGCGAAGACACCTGTAAATATTTTACATACACAATAAAAATTTTTTCAAACCAAAAAGAAGTTGCGAAATGAATTAGTCATACGGATTAAAACGGAAATAACAAAATCCCGAACCTGCAATCTTATCAAGATAAACGATGGGGTTCCTTTTAACATGACATTGTTAGTTTCGTGGACAGTGTTCCCGTGAAAACAAACACAAAAATGAACTCGGTACCAAAATTCCCGCAGGCTCTATTTTATAAACAAGAAAACTTCCTCCAAGCCGCCGTCAATCCATCCACGGTAAGCATTCCTCACTCACTCACCCCCAAAAACTAACCCATTTCCAAAGACCTTCAAGAAACGAAAAGGGACAACCGACAAAGGCAAAGACTACGAGCACCTGTATATGGCACACCTAATTTTAAAACTAACCATAGACGACACCATCAAGAACTTCCAGCTCTCCTCAAACGACGACGACTACGGCGCCTTCGATGACGTCATCGCAGAAATCGAGCGTACCACCGGCGAAAAAAACATATACGCGATTCAGCTGAAGCACGTAGATGGTGTTAAAACCCTAACCAAAGACGCTCTAAGCACAAGTTCCAAGAAAGCCAACTTTAGTATAACGAAATACTTCCAGGAAGCCCAGCACGTGGCGACAACCGACGTTCCGATAAAGTTTATCATTTTGACAAACAACCGATTTGGTGTGTCTGATAACGAGGAAATTGTTTTGGGCGACGACGAGTCTCGCGTGGTGATAAGCAAAAGTGATAAGGAGGCGGTGATTAACACTTGTGACGCAGGGAATTGTTATCGCTTCAGAGCGAAAGTACCTGGAAGCAAGTATGACGATTTTTTTGATAAGTTTGAATTGTACACCGATCAGGTGAACGTCGATAGGATAAAAATTGACACGAGGAATGAGTTTATGAGAGAGTTTGCTTGCGATGGGGAGATTTTTGAAAAGTATGTGAAATTTGTAAACGAGTGGAGTATTCCAGATGGGCAGAAACCAAAGCTCGACAAAACGATGATGAAGCAAATCGTCGCGATGTTCTTGATGTCACCATACACCCAAAATTTGGTCTTCCACGATGAAGCTGTAACTGACGAAACTAAGCTTCTTCAGGAAGCGGTTTCGAAGTTTCGTGTGACGCTCTGTTCTAAAAACCACACTAGGATTTTACGGAAGTTGTGGAAAGACTGCAAAAGTGGGTTGCCACAAGACATGGGAGTGCTGAAACGTGGGGCCAAAAAGTATCAGATCATCCGACCCGGAGTCAATCATGTCAAAGATTTGAACGATGACGAAACCATGAAGCTTTTGTGGTTAATGGGTGTGTGCCCGTTGGTCGTCACAGACCACGAGTCTGTCCGACGAGCCATCAAGCTCTGTCAAAACATGATCGTCTTGCTAGTGGAAGAGTCACACGATTTCGACGACAGTTTTCGGAAGTTGTCTGACTTGTCGGTGTTTCCCGAAATTTTTGACAACGTTGTTCGAAAATTTGGTTTTTCGATGCAAGGAAAAGACAAAATTGCGCTTGAGAATTTAGTTCAAGTGGATGGACGAGTCGTGGATGTTGTGACCACCAATGAGCTGCTTTTGATGTCGGAAGGCAAATTTGTGGTTGGTGGAAAAGGGGAGATTTTGCCACCTTGTCACGTGGAAAGAAGACTGTCTAGAAACGTAGTCGACCATCAGACTATTTTAAGACTGCAAAACTGTGTCCTTTTTGTGTCATCCGTGCAAGACAACGACAATTTCGGTGGTAAAAATGTCGTCAAAGTCGACGAGTCGTTCTTCGGGGGGAATCATCGTCATACGGAGGAAACCATCTATGTAGTTGAAGACGATTGTTCTTGGTTGCTCTTCGACACGTTCTGTCACACGATTGGTGGTTTTGCTAACTGCCACCACTTTCGCTACGTCGACGGGAATTTCGAGTGGATGGCTAGTAGAAACGGTCTTGGTGACATGAAACAGCACCTTCTCGAGGGTTACCACGTGGAAGAAAAGTCTCTACAAAGGTACGAGTTCCACAGGAACATGAACATCGTCTGTGCTGACCCTGGAATGGGCAAAACTACCCTCATGCAAAGCTTGAAAAACCAAATATCGTCAGACCTTTGGACGGTTTTAATCTATGCTAGAAATCACTCGCGACACTTCCGTGAACACGCAGACAACGTGGAAACATTCCACGAACACGTCCTAGACCAAGTCAAAAAGAACCTCACTGATTTTGATGTCAAAATTTTCGAGATTATGCGCGAGCAGAACTTGGTTCGTTACATATGGGATGGTTTGGACGAAGTTTCCACTATGAATGTAGACTCGGTTCTCAGTATCATCGACAAACTTCATCACAGTGGTGTACAACAATGGATAACGTCAAGGTGCAACATGAAAGAAAAATTAGAAATGAAGTTTCGAATCCCGTCTACGACCCTCACGCCGTTCGACGACACCGAGCAGAAGCGTTACATCCAACAACGTCTTGACTGCACGCCAGACGAAATGTTGACGATCTTCGACAAAATTAAGACCAACATCCAGCTCTTCCCGTATAATGACATTCTAGGGATTCCTTTGCAAATCTTCATCATTACGGAGCTGTTTCGCAAAAACATGCAGAAGTACCTTGTCATTCTAGACGAAGTTTTTTCCATCGCGGATTTGTACGACCATTTTGTCGACGAAAAGTTCCAAGTGTATAACATCGGGAAGGAAAAAGCCGACGACGACAACGACTTGGTCTACGAAAGAATCCAAACGGAAAAGAAGCAGAGGGTGTATCAGTACGAAAAAGCCGCCTTGAGTGTGTACTTACCCCACGACCTAGTCACCAAGTGGTCAATCAAGTGGAAGAAATTTTTGACGGAGCTCCAAAACGGCAAAGACCGTTTTGGCATTATCATCCACGTAGACGATGACAATTTGGTGCAGTTCGTCCACAACTCCTTCGGGGAGTACTTCACGGCTTTGTACCTTTCGAAACACCTGGAGCGAGTTCCGGAAACTCGAAGTTTTTGGTTTGACGATAAATACAGCAACATCCGATTTTTCTTCGACTTGATGTTGGCGATGAATAAAGCTCACGTGGCGGTTTTGTACCGAAATCCGAAACTTCTGGCTAAGTGTGACGAAGACGAAATTATCTCGAAAGATAAAGGGGGGAGAAATGTTTTACAACTGATTAGTTCTTGGGGCTTAAGGTGTCCGGATTTGAACATCGAAACGAAAAACGGCACCTACATCATCGATAAAGAAAATATTGACATGTCGAGGTTCCGCAAGGGCGAAAGCTCGGACCATTGCACAATTCTGGACAAACTGAAGAAATTGTTTCCTCTTGAAGAAACCGACCACTTGTTTCAAATGAGTTCGTTCTCGTATGCGTCGAAATCGTCGTCGCTTTTGTCTTTGGCGATGTTGACTTGGAGCTCGTCGATCACTGACGATTTTACCCAAAAGTCGATTTTGATTTTCTTTTATTGCGCGGTGGCGGATTATGTTCAGATTTTTGACATCATGGACGTGCCTTATGTCAAGACCACAGACCATTTGCTTGAGTTTCTTCTAATTGAGACTCAGTCGGTGAAAAGTTTACGCAGAATCGTCAACCTCGAAGACTACAAGAAAAATCTCTCGCAAAGAAGTTCTGATGGTTTACTTTTCCAAGCGTCTAAGGGTGGCAATGCCGAAATTATGCAGCTTCTTATCGACAATGGTGCTAACTTGGACGCACGTGCCATTGGTATTGAGGAAATGCGACCCATGGTTATGGTGGCGATTCAAGGTCACTATCAAGCTGCTAAAGTCTTGGTTGACAACGGGGCGGACGTCAATATTACAGATCGTCATGGCTATTCGGCTATTCACGCTGCGTGTCAATATCAGCACTACGACATTGTCAAGCTGTTGGTTGACAATAAGGCTGAGCTTGATAATCCGGATAACAGAATGGGGACACCTTTACACCACTGTTTGACGAATGGGAATTATGAGATCGCGCAACTACTTTGTGAGAGTGGGGTTGACGTAAATAAAAGACCTCCTCACCTGAAGACTCTGGAGCCTAAGTTAAGGTATAACATGATTTTGAAGAAGTACCCCAAGCTCGCTAGGCTGTTGCTACAACATGGGTACTCTTTGTTACCTAGCTTGGAAGAAAAAGTGGTTCAGTTGAAACAGAGGATCAGGATGTTGCGGTACATTTTGGGAAAGTTGGAACGAGGCGAAATTGGTGCATAATTTCTGTTTTATTAACTAAGTAATAAGTGTTCTTTTTTTAAATAAAAATTCGTACTTGAAACTACAGTTTTTGTAAATCTGTACTTATCTTTTTTATAATTTTTTGATTTGTATTTTGTATTTTTCAAAAATGACAATTTTCGATTTCTCTGGTTCGTTTCAATTTTAAATTTTTCGATTTTTCCATGTTTTGATTTTTCAGTTTCCCTTTTTTTTATTGTTGGATTTTTCAAATTAATTTTACGATTTGTCGATTTTTCAATTTCTCGGTTTTTAACTTTTTCAATTTTGCGATTTCTCAATTATATGATTTTGCAGTTTTTCAATTTTTTTAGCTTTTCGATTTTTCAACTTTTAAATTTTCAACTTTAATGTTCCTCTTTTTCAGTTTTTTTTTACCCAATTTTTAAATTTATTTTTACTTTTTGAATTTGTAGTTGTCCAGTTTTTGATTTTTCGAATTTTTAACTTTTTAATTTTTGATTTTTCAATGGTTCGATTATCCCACTTTTCAGGTTTTCGATATTTCGGTTACATATTCCGTTTTTCTTTGTTATAATTTTTTGATTTGGGTTTTTCCGATTTTCTATCTTTTAGATTTTTCAAATTTTGATTTTACGATTTTTAGATTTTTTAGTTTTTCACACCAACATTCAGGCGAACATCGAAAACCATGCGAACGGAAAAAATCCGAAAAAAAGTTCAAAATCTAGTTTCAAAATTTTTCAAAATTCCATTTGTTGAAAAGCTGAAAAAATAAAAATCAAGAAAATGGGGAATTCGAACAGCGAAAAATTGTAAAATCCAAAAATCGAAAAATTGAAAAAAGCCAATTTAAAAATTAATCGTGTAATAAGTAAATACCCAAAAATGGGACTATTAAAAAATTAAAAATCAAGGAACTGGAATTGCGAATTCGGAAAATAAAAAAATATGTATTCAAAACATTGAAAAAGCGAATTGGAAAATTGAAAATTTCAGTACTGAAACATTAAAAAATGAAAAATTGAGGAATTGAAAAATTGGATTACTTACTGAGAAATGAAAAATTATAAAAGGTGATTGAAAAATCTAAACATTGAAAAGAAGAAAGTTTAAAAATCGACAAAATAAAAATAGAATAATTTCTAAAATTTGAAAAATCGAAAAATTAAAATATGTTGTAAAATTACCTGAAAACAATTGAAAAATCGAGAAACGAAGAAATCATGCAACATAAAAATTGCAAAATAGAAAAATTATAACTGAAATATTGAGAAAAAGGAAATTTGAAAATTGAGAAATCGAAAAATTGGAAAATCGAGAAATTAAGCCATCGGATAATTGAGAAATTGAAAGTTGCATTGTAAACCAGAAAAATGGAACTAATGCATAATTGTAAAATTGGTAAATTGAAAAATTAAAAAATCGAAAAATTGCAAAATTACAGAACTGGAGAATTGTAAAACTAAAAAAATTGAGAAATTGAAAACTAGAAAATTGCAAATCGAGACATGTAATATTGAAAACAATAAAATTGCAATTCAATAAATTGAAAAATCGAATTATTAAAAATTAAAAAATTGCAAAATCATAAAATGGAAGAAGCGAAAAATTGAAGAACTCGAACGTTAAAAATTGAGAAACTAGAATTCAAAAATTGAACTTTAGAAACACTGAAAAAATGAAAATTTAAAAATCTCATTCATAATAATTGAAAAATTGAAACAAAAAAATGGGGAAATAGAGAAATCGAAAAATTGGAAGACAAATAAACTGAAAAAATTGAATTAAAATTCGAGAAATTGAAACATCGGATAACTGAGAAACTGAGAATTGTATTCATTGTAAACTAGAAAAAATGCAAAATTGAAAAACTGAAGAAATGAAAAATAAAAAAATTGAAAAATGGAAAACTAGAAAATTGCAAATTGAAACATTTAGAATTGAAAATTAGAAAATTGAAATTCGAAAAATTGAAGAAACAAAAAACTGAAAAATCAAAAAATTGCGAAATTGTAAAATTGAATAATTGAAATATTAAAAATCGAAAAACAGAAAACGGTAAAATTGAAGAGACGAAAGGTTGAAACATTCTAAATTGAAAATTAAAAAATTACAAATCGAAAAATTGAAGAAACGAAAATTAAAATTGAAAAATTTTAAATTGGAAACTAGGAAATTGCCAATTGAAATATTGAAAAACCGAAATGTTAAAAATCGAGGAACTAAAACTGAAATTTCGAAACACAGAAAAAAAAATTAAAAACACGGGAAAACTTGAAAATCTAAACATCAAATTACTCAAAAATTAAAACCCAAGAAATTGAAAAATCGGGTAAATGAGAAATCGAACAACTGAAAAAATTTAAAAATAAAAAGAAAAAGTTGGAGCACTGAAAAATTGAAGATAAATAAATTAAAAATTGCATTATAGACCAGAAAAATCGAAAAACTGCAAAATTATAAAATTAGGAAATTGAGAAATTCAAAATCAAAAATTCCAAAATCATCAGACTGAAGAAATGTAATTGAAACATTGAGAAATTGAAGAAATAAAATGTTGAAAAAAAGTCGGAAAACAAAAAATCGAACAATTAAAAAAAAAAATTGTAAAAATAGAGAAATCGAGAAAGTGAAAATACAAAGTTGAAACATTAAAAATTGAAACACTGGAAACATTGAAAAATAAAAAAAAATAAAATCAGAAAATTGAGAAATCAAAAATTGGATAGGTATAAACTGAAAAATCGAAAAAAAAAATTAAATTGCAAAATCATAAAGCTTAAGAAACGAAAAATAAAAAAAAATTAAATTAAAAACTAGAAAACATCAAATTGAATCATGAAAAATTGGAATAAAAAAGTTAAAAACCTAAATCAAGAAATAGGAAATCGAAAAATTAAAGTATCTAAATGTCGAAAAATTGTAAAATTTTGAAATTAAGAACTCAAGAAATCGAAAATTAACATATTTGGAAATTGAAAAACCGAAAAATTCTACAACTTCTAGATATTCTAGAAACTTTAAAAAATGTAGAATCTTTAATTAGAATTTGTAGAATCAATGGAATCTTTAGAATCTTTGGAATCTATGGAATTTTTGAAATACTTAGGATTCTTAGAATCTGCTAGAACCTTCAAAAATTTCTAGAATCTCAAAGATCTCTAGAATCTCTAGGATCTCTAGAACCTCTAGAACCTCCAAAACTTTCAGAATCTTCAGAATCTTTAGAATTTTTGTGATTTTTGGGTTTATAGAATATTGGTATTCTTTGGAATATTTGGAATCTTTGCAATTTTTGGAGTCTTTGGAATCTTGGGGAAGTTTACAATCTTCAGAATCTTTAGAATCTTTAGGATTTTTGGGATCTTTAGGGTTTATAGAATCTTCGTAATCTTTGGAATATTTGGAATCTTTGGAATTTTTGGATTCTTTGTCATCTTGAGGATATTTAGAATTTTTAGTATCTTTAGAATCTCTAGAATTTTTGGAATTCTTAGAATTTTTAGGGTTTTAAACCTTGAGAATTTTTAGAGTTTCTAAAACGATTGGAATGGCTAGATTCTAAAATTTGTACACTCTCTATAATTTTTTGAATCTCTAAAATCTTTAGAATCTTTTTAATCTCTAGAACTGCTAAACTTTAAAACTTTGGAATCTTTGGTATATCTAGAATCTTTGAATCTCTAGAACCTTTACGTATCTTTAGAATCCCTAGAATCCTTAGAATCTCTACAATTGCTGGAATCGCTAGATTCCAAACATTAGGAGATTTTACGATTTTTAGAATCCCCAAAATTTTTAACATTTCCAAAATCTCCAGAACCTCTAGAATCTGTATAATCTTTAGACTTGTTAGAATCTACAGAATCTCTAGAATGGCTGGAATTCCTAGCTCTAAAACTGGTACAATTTCTATAATCTCTAGAGTTTTTCTTGAACTACTAGAATCTTTGGAGTCTCTGGTAGCCTCTGCAAATTTTGAAATTTCCGAACAACCAATTTCAGGAATCCCTGAAAGTTTTGTATTTTAGTTAATTACGAGATTCCAAATTTTGAAATCTCTGAAATTCTCAAAATTTTTGATTTTCTGAAACCTCTAGAATTTTGGAAATACCCAAAAAAAATCCTCAATACACGATATTTCATTTGAAAGTTACATACTTTATGCATTTTTTAAAAATGACATCTTGTAGAAAAGATTTTAAATCTTCAAACTTCTTTAAAACTTGTAAACCTTCTGGATACTCTAGAATCTTTAAATTTTCTAGGATCTTTAATTAGAATTTCTGGAATCTTCAGAATCTTTAGAATCTTTGGAATGTTTGGAATGTTTGTTTGGAGTGTTTGGAATGTTTGTTTGGAATGTTTGGAAAAGGAAAAACGATAAATTAAAATATTTGCAAACTGAGAAATCGAAAAATTGTGAAGTCCAACAGTTGAAGAAATGAAAAATCTAAAAATTCAATAGTTAAACAATCGAAAAGATGAAGTTCAAGAATAGTAAATGGAAGAATAAATTGGAGAAACTAAAAAATTCTAACATAAAAATTCAAAAAAATTGATCGAAGGTTATTTCGTTTCATCAAAACCATGTGTTGCTGAGAATTATGAGGTAAAATCATTCATTAATTTGATTAATATGTGTGTAATGTTAAAGTAAATGTAAAGAATAATTTAATAATATAATAATCTCTAGAAATTTGAGAATTTCCAGAATCTTTGGCGTCTGCAGAATCTCTAGAAACCCTAAAACTTCTACAAGTTCTAGATACTTTAGAATCTTTAAACAGAACTTCTAGAATCTTTGGAATCTTTGGAATTTTTGAAATCTTTAGAATCTGTAGAATCTCTAGGATCTCTAGAATCTCTACAATCTCCAGAACCTTCAGAATCTTCAGGACCTTCAGAATCATCAGAATTTTCAAAATCTCGAATGTCTAAAGTTTCTAGATTCTCTAGAATATTTAATTAGAATTTCTAGAATCTTTAAGATCTTTATGATCTTTTTGATAAATTAAAGTATTTGATCAAATTGAAAAATCGAAAAATTGAGAAGTCTATGGGTCATGAAACGACAAGTAAAAATCAAGCAATCCGACTAATCAATTATTATGTCATTATGCTAGTCCTCGTCTTCCTTATTTTTCTGCGTGTGTGCTTATGTTCTGTCGTCAGAAAAATCGATCCTACCAAAATCGACTACTGCGAAAAAACGTGTACCGTGGAGGACCCCAACACCAATAAACCCTCCAAAGTGTACGAAAATTCAGCATGCGATTGTCGAGCCAATACCACCCATACCGAGTTACTCTTCCAACTCGTGGAGTTCCGAAAGACCATGCTGGAGTTGCACAACTCCCTCAGGAACAAGTTAGCACTTGGTAAAGTGAAACATAAAGACGGATCGTTTTATCCAAATGCCTCCAACATGAGAGCGTTGAGCTACAGCCTAGAAGTGGAGTACATTGCTAGGTGCTACGCCGTCAAGATTTACGACGACCATGACGAGTGTAGAGATACCATCAAGCACAAAGCCGTTGGGCAAAACGTGCACTTTGCGGATAGCCCATATGAACCCTACACGACTACCATGTGGTGGTGGTAAGTTATAACTATGCTATAAGTATACAAAGAGAAAGTGTGTTTCCTGTTCCAGGTGGAAGCAGTTTGACGTTTATAACCCGAAGCACATCGACAAATATGAGCTCATCCAGGGTGTAGGGGAGAAAGCGTACGCCGATTTCACACAACTGGCTTGGGCTGAGGTGTACACGTTGGGTTGTGCTAGATCCTGGAACCTCGGAAATTACAAGTTTGGGCGGTTTGCGGTGTTGTGTAACTATGAGTCCATGGGTGAGGGTGCGAATAAGATGGGAGCTCCCGTTTATGCGCAAGGACCATCCTGTTCTGGGTGTCCTGAGGGAACGAACTGCAACCCAAAATACACCGGTTTGTGCGGCCGAATTGACCAGGTACCGATGGACCGTCCACCGTATATATACAAGAGAGGAGAAATCTCCACTACTACAGAATCCTAAAATAGGGGAAAAGGGTCCTTTTTTAATTACGTTTGTGTTGTATATATTTTTATAATTAATATATTGTTTATTGAAACACTTCTTAGTTTTGCTTGTGAGTACTTGTTGTAAGTACTTTGTATTCTAACAGACGACAGACAGACGGAAACGGGAGACCACTTTTTTCGTAATCTAAAGGTCATGAATCGTCGAGTAAACATGAAAGTGCCAAGTCGCCTGATGGACTCATTTCACACAACACATTTCAATCAAAGCCTAGGTTTTTGTAAGAAAAACCTTAATTTTTTACTCTACGAACGTTTTTGTTTAAGTTTTCTGAAAAATCTCTTACTATAACTTTAACTGATCAACTGTAGCAGCAGTCATTTTTAAATTTGTACGTAGAGTAATTTTTGTTCAATATGATGTTAATTTAACTGTAAAAACTACGTTGAAGAACTTCACATTCCTGAAAAAAATACTCTAAAATTTTGGATTTCATGGAATCTTTAGAATCTCTAGAATTTCTCGAACCCTTAGAATCTCTAGAATCTTAATCTTTAGCATCCAGAATCTCTAGAATTTTTGGTATTTCTAGAATTTCTCGAATCTTTATAGTCTCTAGAATGGCTGGAATCGCTAGAATCTAAAACTTGTACGATTTATAGAATTTCTAAATTCTCTGCAATCTCTAGGATCACTAGAATCTTTGAAATCTTTAGAATCTTTGCAATATTTACAACTAATTTCAGGATTCTAGAAACTTTAGAATTTCCAGAATCTTCAACATCTCCAGAATCTTTAGAATCTCTAGAATATCTGAATCTTTAACATCTCTAGAATCTCTAGAATTTTTGGAACTTTTATAAAATTTCTCATATCTTTAGGATCTCTAGAGTGGCTGGAATCGCTACACTCTAAAATATGTACAATTTCTGGAATGGCTGGAATCCCTAGACTGTAAAATTTGTACAATTTCTAGAATTTCTAAATTCTCTGCAATCTCAAGGATGACTAGAATTTTCAGAATCTCTAAAATGGCTGGAATCGTTAGATTCTAAAACTGGTACCATTTTTAGAATCTCTAAATTCTTTACAATCTCTAGACTTACGAGTGTCTTTGAGATCTCTGGAATCTTCGAAATATTTACAACCAATTCAAGAATCTTTGAAACCTTTAGAATGTTGAAAATCTCTACAAATTTTAAAATTTCCAAAATCTGTAAAACTTCTGGAATCTTTAAATTTTTTGAATCTTTAGAATGTCTAGAATTTCTAAGATCTTAAATCTTTAGCATTTCCAGCACCTCTAAAACCTCTAGAATCTCTAGAATTATTGGAATTTCTAGAATTTGTCGAAACTTTGGAATTTCTAGAATGGCTGGAATCGCTAGACTCTTAAATATGTTCAGTCTTTAAAATCTCTAAATTCTCTATAATTTCTAAAATCAGAGTCTCTAGAATGTCTGAAATCGCTAGACTCTAGACTTTGTACCATATTTAGAATCTCTGAATTCCTTACAGTCTCTAGAATTACCAGAATCTTTGAAATTTCTGGAATCTGGAATATTTACAACCAATTTTAGGAATCTTTGAAATCTTTAGAATATTGAGAATCTCTAAAAACTTTAGAATTTCTAGAATCTTTGGCATCACCAGAATCTAATTAGAATTTCTAGAATTCTTAAAATCGTTAGATTCTATGGAATCTTTAGAATCTTTAGAGCCTTTAGGACCTTTAGAACCTTTAGAACTTTTAGAATTTTTCGAATCTTTGGAATCTTTGGAATCGGAATCTTTGGAATTTTTGGAATCTTTCGAATCTTTAGATTCTTTGGATTTTTTGGGTTCTGTGGATTGTTTGGAATCTTTGTAATCTTTGGAATTTTGGGAAATCTTTGGAACCTTTGGAATTTTTGGAATCTTTGGAATCTTGGGATCTTCGGAAACTTTTAAATCTTTACAATCTCTAGAATCTGTAAAATCTGTAGAATTTATCGAATCTCTAAAGTGTCTAGAATCTTTAAAATCTGTAGAATTTCTCGAATCTTTAGAATCTAAATCTTTTGCATTTCCAGCATCTGTAAAATCTTTAGAAACTCTAGAATTTTTGGAATTTCTAGAATTTCTCGAAACTTTGAAATCTCTGGAAAGCTGGAATCGCTAGATTCTAAAATATGTCCAGTCTTTAAAATCTCTAAATTCTCTATAATCTCTAGAATCAGAATCTCTAGAATGGCTGGAGTCGCTAGATTTTGAAACTTGTCCGGTTTCTAGAATTTTTAAATTCATAGCATTTTGTAGGATCATTAGAATCTTCAGAATTTGTAGAATCTTTAGAATCTCGAAATTCTCTGCAATCACTAGAATTATTAGAATCTTTAGAAATTTTGAGAATTTCCAGAAACGTTGACATCTCCAGAATCTAATTAGAATTTCTAGCCTTCTTAAAAACGTTAGAATCTTTGGAATCTGTATAATCTTTATAATCTTCATAACTCTCATCATCTTTATAATCTTTATAATCTTTATGATCTTGATAATCTTTATGATCTTTAGGATTTTTAGGATCTTTAGGACCTTTAGGACCTTTAGAATCTTTGGAATCTTTTGAATTTTTGGATTCTTTTGAATCGTTGGAGTCTTTGGAATCTTAGGAATCTTCGAAATTTCTACAATCTGTAGAATCTGTAGAATCTCTAGAATCTGTAAAATCTCTAGATTTTCTCGAATCTCTATAATCTCTAGAATCTTTAAAATCTATAGAATTTCTCGAATCTTTAGAATCTCTAGAATCTTTCGAATCTCTAAAATGACTGGAATCGTTAGACTCTAGAATTTGTACCATATTTAGAATCTCTAAATTCTTTACAGTCTCTAGAATTACCAGAATCTTTGAAATTTCTGGAATCTGGAATATTTACAACCAATTTAAGGAATCTTTGAAATCTTTAGAATATTGAGAATCTCAAAAAACTTTAGAATTTCCAAAATCTTTGGCACCTCCAGAATTTAATTAGAATTTCTAGAATTCTTAAAATCGTTAGAATCTTTGGAAATTTTATAATCTTTATAATCTTTATGGTCTTTATGACCTTTATGACCTTTATGATCTTTAGGATCTTTAGGATCTTTAGGATCTTTCGGATCTTCAGGATCTTTAGGACCTTTAGGACATTTAGGACATTTAAAATTTTTGGAATCTTTGGAAACGTTGGAATCTTTCGTATGTTTGGAATCTTTGGAATCTTTGGAATTTTTGAAATCTTTGGAATTTTTGGATTCTTTGGAATCTTTGGAGTCTTTGGAGTCTTTGGAATCTTTGAGATCTTGGGAATCTTGGGAATCTTCGAAATCTCTACAATCTGTAGAATCTCTAGAATCTGTAAAATCTTTAGAATTTCTCGAATCTCTAATATCTCTAGAATCTTTAGAATCTGTAAAATGACTGGAATCGCTAAATTGATACACCCTGTAATGGTGCAACAGTTTTGAACATGTTCTACATTAGTCATGAAGAGATTTTAAAAGCGGCCAAAAGAATGAAACCGAACAACGTATCTGGAGCGGATAATCTTCCCGCCTTTCTAATTGTCGACTGCATAAATTACCTGTTGCCGCCATTATGTCACATATTTAATTTAATTCTACAATCATGTGCATGTCCGAGTGCATGGAAAATCTCTCGTGTAGTTCCCATATTCAAGTCAGGTGATAAAGAAAATGTAAAAAATTACAGACCTATTGTTCTTATTTCAAATATCGCAAAATTATTTGAATGTATACTGTCTGATATTCTTTATTCACATGTTGCACCTAACATTGCGCCTGAACAGCATGGCTTCGTCAAGGGGCGATCAACAGTGACTAATTTGTTTGAATATACTCAATTTGTATCAGAAGCGTTAGACAATCGTTTGCAAGTGGATGCCATATACACTGACTTGAGTGCGGCATTTGACAAGGTGCATCATTGTATTTTATTAAAAAAACTGAAAAGTTTTGGTTTATGTGATAGTTTAATATTTGTTTTTAGATCTTTGTTAACAGGCAGACATCAATTTGTGAGCTATGGTGGATTTAAATCGAATAGGTATTGTGTTAACAGTGGTGTGGGACAAGGGTCAAACCTAGGACCACTCTTGTTTAATATATTTTATAATGATGTTGTGAAATATTTAAACTGTAAGACACTTATTTATGCAGATGATTTAAAAATGGCAAAGGTTATAACGAATGTTGAAGATTGCATTGAATTACAAAATAGTTTAGATCGTTTACTTAACTGGTGTGATGATAACTTGCTAACTGTTAATAAAACTAAGTGCAAAAAAATAACGTTTGCCAGAATACATAATCCAGTTAATTTTTATTATAACATTAGAGGATACGTTCTAGAAAACTGTAAAGAAGTATTAGACTTAGGTGTCATTATAGATAGTACGCTCTCTTTTCATTCACATGTTATACATATCGCAAAACATGCTATGAAACTATTAGGTTTTATTTATAGAAATACGAAAGACTTCTCTAATACTCGATGCATTAAATTATTATTTTATACATTGGTTAGAGCAAAATTAGAATATTGCTGTACAGTATGGAAACCTTACCATGTAACATATATAGATCTATTAGAGAATGTACTGAGAAAGTTTGCGAAGTATGTATATTTTAAGATGTTTGGTAGATATCCTGTCAGACACTGTGATCAAAGTAGTTTACTTGACATTGTTAGTGAAAATTCTCTACTTAGTAGGAGGAATATGTCATGTTTGATATTTTTACAAAAAATTGTAACGGGACAAATTTATAGTCAAACTCTTCTCAATGAAATTAAATTTAATGTACCCAGATTAGGCAGCCGCATCCAGATAAGTTTTTCATATAACATTCCAAACACACTTCACCACTTCAATAGTCCTCTAATAGCTTGTATTCGTTTGTATAATTATATTATTAGCAGAGATCAAAATATTGACATTTTCTTTAATAATTTTTGTAACGTTGGGATTAGGAATAAGATACTGAAAATTGTAGTTGCTGTGTTGTAATGTTGTTGTATCCACTAGAGACATAATTGTCTGCTGGAAATAA